CTGTCTCTCTCTGTCAAAAATAAATAAACATTAAAAAATGTTTTTAATATCTTCTATATCTCTACTTCAAATGTTTGGTCTTTCCTCTAGTGTTTTTGATACATAGAATATGATCGTTATAACCATTAATTTTCTTTCCCTGCTAATTCTAACATCTGTGTCTGCTCTGGATTGGTTTTGATTGATTTTTCCTCTTCATTTGGGGTTGTATTTTTCTGCTTCTTTTTATGCCTGGTAGTTCTTGACTGGGTGCCAGACACTGTGATTTTTACCTTTTTGGGTACTGGATATTTTTGTATTCCTATAAATATCCTTGAGCTTTGTTCTGGAATATAGTTACTTAGAACAGTTTGATCCTTTTGGGTCTTGCTTTTATGATTTGTTAGGCAGGACCAGAGCAGTGTTTAGTTGAGAGCTAATTATGTCCCACTAATGAGGCCTTCAGAGGACCCTTCAGAGTACTCTGCTCAATGCTCCATGAGTTACAAGGTTTTCCAGTCTGTCTGGTGAAAGCAGGCAATATCCCAGGCCCTGTGTGAGTTTTGGGTAGTGTTCCTTCACATTCTTTTGGGTGATTCCTGAGCCTCACATGCACACACTGATCATAACTCTGCTGAATATATTCTAAGGAGACCTTCAGTAGATTCCAGAATTCTCCCTTTGTGTAACTTTCTGCAGTTAAGTACTTCAGTACTCTGCCCTGTGAACTCTAGCTGCCTTGGCCTCCCAAGAGTCTCAGCTGTGTCTCTTCAACTCAGAGAGTCTGCCAGGCTCCATCTGGGTTTCTCCTGCTTGCTCTACAGCCTGAAGGCTCTCAAGACAATAAGCTGGGGCAATTATAGGGCTCACCTTCTTTGCTTCTCATCCCCAGGGATTATTGTCCTGTGTTATCTGATGATGTCCAGTGTTGAAAGCCTTGTTTCATGTATTTTTCCAGTGTTTTCATTGTTTTAAGTGGGAAGATAAATCTGGTCCCTATTGGCCAGAAACAGAAGTTGACTCTTAAAATTGAGACTTTTGTGCACAGAAGAGAACACATTATTATCTTATAAAATATCTCTGAGGAACCAGAAATGAATCTGAATAATATATGCCAGCTCTAGCTTTCACATTTAGTTTTTGGAACAGATTTCTAAATTTTTGCACAAAAGCCAAAGAGCAATTGATATAATTTAATTACTTTGGTCTCAGATTTCACTGAGAAATGAAGAGAAAAACATTTTCCCTGCATGACATGTTTCTGGCTCAAATGTGGTATTTTTGAAATTTCCAAAATAATATTTGTCAAGGCAGAAAAATCCCTGTGGAAAACATAATCTCATTTAAGTGATCATATATGTTTTTTCCCTGTCAGAAAAATTATTCTACATGTAAGTTTCATCTTCTGTTTTAAACCTTGAATGCTTCCATTCCCCTAACTGTATCTTTTACAGTTTGTAGCTGTAAAAGATAGGGGAAAACTTAAATGTCCTTCTGTGGGAGATGAGTTAAGTGAATTATGGCCTGTCCACACAGTGTATGTTTAAAAAGAACAGACAGCTCTAACATGTACTAACACATAATGGCCTATAAGATATATTGACAAGTTAAAAAAAAAAAAAAAAGATATATTGACAAGTAAAAAAAGCAGTAATGTATATATACACCCGAGCTTAATCATGTGTAGTCTATCTCTAGAAGAATATATAAGAAACTGGTAACAGTAGTTGCCCCTGAGGATAAGAATTAAAGATTGGAGTGGGAAGGAGAGATTTATTTTTTACTGTATACTTTTATGCTGTTTACTTTTTTTAAACCATGTACATGGATTACTTTTCAAACACACCTATTTTTTTTTAAAGAATTAAAAACAAACTGTTCTTTATTTGACTTCTCTGATAGGAGTGATCGACACAGGAATTGCCCTATTTGTCGCCTACAGATGACTGGAGCAAATGAATCTTGGGTGGTGTCAGATGCACCCACTGAAGATGATATGGCTAACTATATTCTTAACATGGCTGAAGAGGCAGGCCAGCCCCTTATACCATGACCTTGGGGTGAAGGTCTTCTGTTGCTATTACAAGCTGCAAACACTTTGGTCATGGGGGAAGAATGCAGGGATATTGTGGCACAGATGCAGAGATATCAATTTTCCCTACCCTCTTATTTTCGCTGTTCTGACAGTTTGTCCCATTTCTTTTGATAAACTTGCTATGTCTTCCATTTATAGTAAACTAAAATTTGCTACTGTTTTAGACCATATTTTTCTATTATTTATCTGTTCTAATATATATTAGAACTAATTGCTCTTGAATCCTTTGCTGAGGTAACAGCAACATTTCCAGAGACTTCTGAAACACTATTTTTCAGGGCAGGAGTATTCTGGGATCTATTTAGTTAGGTTTAAAATAAACTTTGAATGTTAAAAAGTGTAGCCATCTGAGAGAAAATTTGAAGTGACTGAAAATGTAGAGTATATCAAAGTGCAGGTTACTACTTTAGTCTTTCTGCTGGAATCTAAGGAGTGTGTATGCCCCCTTGTGGTTAATTATTGCTCCTTTAATAATTTTTACTTGAAACGATCCACAATTATTTCATAACTGTAGCAATGTGTTTTGGAACTACATGTTTTTTACTTAAAAGTCTTTTTTTTTTTTTTCCATGCTGTATAATTTGGGTGAGGACTATAAAGCTGGGCGTGACTTCGCCTTGTAAATGGATTTCTGCTGGGGAATCTTCTTGGCTGATCTGGAAATGCTTTCCCATAGTTGGAAAACTGTTCTAAATAGCTTTTGATAATGCTCTTGCATCTTGGAGTTTCAGAAGGAAATTTTTCTTCTTCACAGATCCTGAATTTTGTATTTCCAAATTATGGTAAATCATTCAATATTGGTTCATGGTGCCTTTATTTTCTTAACTTGAAGGCATCTTTCTGAAGTCTCAAAGTCTTTAAATTTCTTATGTCATTAAGTGAGAAGAACATAGGGTACAGCCTTTTAAACGTGTACCATGAACACCTCTGAAAATCAGGAGATAATTTGGCTTTCTACTGTTTCACTGTACTTCCTTTGAAATACTCAGAGAGTATAGTCATAATGGAATTATGATTTTTAGTGACACTTCATTTTTCAAAAATTTTGCTTATAAAGTAAAATTTTTGTTTTATGTTAAGCATTAACATATTAGCATATAATAAAACTAGAACCTGATGTCTCCTTTAAAAGATATGTTAACATTCCATGTAACTTTTTTGACTTATTATGCATAATTGCAAATATTACTATTTTCCATATACCAAAGTACACAATTTAAGTTGCTGCTTAATGATGGCAGAATTTTTGGATGTTGGGATTTTTTAAACTATTTTTTAAAGTTTATTTATTTACTTTGAGAGAGAGAGCAAGCAGGGGAGGGGCAAAGAGAGAGAGAGAGACAGACAGACAGACAGACAGAATCCCAAACAGGCTCTGTGCTGTCAGTACAGAGCCTGACACAGGCCCAAACCCACAAACCGCGAGATCATGACCTGAGCCAAGATCAAGAGTCAGACACTTAACCAACTGAACCACCTGGGTGCCCCTGGATATCAGGATTTTAATAGGCATGCAAATTAAATAATTCATTTCCCTCCCAAAAATGTCTGACCAAAGATAGCTTGATTTTACCCCCAAAATATTGATAACTAATTGGTTGACATTCATGATGGAGACAGTCCAGGACCAAATAGCTAAACACCACTGTGGAGCACGAGGGGCTCTATCATATCCACCTGGCAATGTGCTTGATGGTTTGTGTGACCTTGAGAAAGTCCCTGCTGCTGGTTTGTAGGTTCCTGCGTTAGAAACTGAGATGTTATCTGTGCTTTTTACACTTTATTTTAGCAGTAGAACTCCCCCCCCCCCCAGGTAAAATCTTACTCAGAACCCCTACACATACATGCTATATACCCACACACACTACCCCTCTATATAAAAGTCATATTTTATTAATATAAATTTCCTTATATAACTATATACCACAATAAATATTATAAAGTCAACCAATAAAAACATGTATTAATGCATTGGTGGGATCCAGGATAGTCGAATTTATTTAGTAATGTAGTTGTATGATGGGAGTTATTTTTTAAATGAATTTTTTTTTAATGTTTGTTTATTTTTGAGGGAGAGAGAGACACAATGCGAGCAGGGGAGGGGCAGAGAGAGAGGGAGACACAGAATCTGAAGCAGGCTCCAGGCTTTGAGCTGTCAGCACAGAACCCGACGTGGGGCTCAAACTCACAAACCACGAGATCATGACCTGAGCCGAAATCAGACACTTAACCGACTGAGCCACCCAGGGCACCCCCCCCGCCCCCACCAAAAATTTTTTAATTCAAGTCAGATTTGTAGAACGCTGAATCTCCTCCCCGAAGTCTTAGTATCCCATGGGACAGATTTTGAAAACCTTGGGATAGATGATCTCTGAGATCTTTTCTAGCTCTAAGATTTTAAATTGTCCTTTTGGATTAGACTTGCTGAGTCTAACTCAGATTGCCTAATTGAAGAATGTTTCTGAAAATGAACAAAGTTGCTTTACATGTTTTTGGATCTTTCCAGGTATAGCCAATGATCTTATCCCCCAGAATCCTTCACCTTTCAAGGAATTATTTAACAGTAAGCTCAATGACCTGATATTGCCCAAACCTTTTTACTTTCCAATATGAGCTCCAAGACACTAACTGATCTACTGTGAAGTAGAAAGTTCTTAGTTTTTGTTAGTCTTATTAAATCAATGAGCACAGGTTTTTGCCTACTGCATTAACTGGGTGATAATTCTTTAGATGTGAATGTTAGGTAGGTTCTACTATTATAACTAATCATAAAAGTTGTAAATTTGTTTCATGGATAAAATGTACACTTTTTGTATTCTGTACAGCTTTGTCTTTTTTAAATATGAAGTACTTAAATGCACTTACTATGATAGGAAATATAATGTGTGCCTTCTAGGATTTGTGAAATGTTTTCATGAACTCTAAGGAATTTGTTTTAGAAGTTAAAATGTTTTCCCTATCCTAACTCAGTAACAAAGAGTTTACTCATATTGTGATGCTGTAGAACTTTAGTTTGAGAAAATGTATTTGACTACGTACTGAATTTAGAAGTTGAGAATAATAGTATCTGCTTTATTCTTAGGACAAACTGATATATTGTGCAATAAATAATCTTTAGCAAGTAAATTTTAGCTAACCGAAGAGACTCTTTTCTTACGTAGTTTCACATTCTTCTATACTAAATGTTTATATTCCTTAGAGGACTATTTTGTATTGTGCTCTGGGGAGTTGTGATGTTTGCGTCCTATGTTTTAAAAGTCATTTCAAATTGAACTCAACTTCCTTATACCTAATCTATATCTGGGTAATAAGGCTGCTTGAAATTATCTTTTGTTTCTGTGATTAACAGTGGAAAGTTGGATTCATTAAAAGGCAGTCCAAAGAATTTGTATTTTTAACTGTTTTTTTTTTTTTCTTTCTTAAGTGAAGCTTACTTTGTCTATCGAGGAATAAGAAAACTGCTTGGAGATTAGGGAAGTCAGCTGATCACTCCCATTTATGATGGGCAGCACAATGACAATATAATATACATAGCTGACAACAGATTTTCATTTGTTCTCATGTCTTATTTACCCTGTTGGACAGAAAAAAGATAAAATACTATAGTGTTTTTTTTGTGGTTCTTGTAAAATCATTTCCAAAGTTAAAGAGTATAATTAGAAAAGCATGTTAGAATCTTAGTGCTGAGAAGAGGAAAGCCATTTATAAGAAGGAATGGCAGTTTATATTTCAATTTACTGATGTACAGCATCCTGGAGAAGTACACATTTTGGTACCAAAAGACATAAGCCTCCTCAGAGATACATTTTGATAATCTTGCAACTGTTTATAGTCTTACTCTCTGGCATCCTCGATCTTTCTGATAAAATACTTATTTAAAGGTTGAGGATTTTTAAATTTCCAAGCAACTATGTTTTTCTGATTAGTATTCCTTTCATTGTAGTTAGTTACCCTTGTTCTTTATAACAGTCATAGTTCAGGTATTGTGTGCTTAGGTGTATTACCAATATATCTCCTTCAATCATGTGTATAAATCCAAAAAAAGATGAATATTCCAGTGGAGGACTCAGAAACAAGTAAAGAGAAAGCCAGAGAGATGTGCTTTCAACTCTGCTTTAATCCAAGATAAAAGGAAGTAAAGGCCCAGGACTCACCTTGGTACATACCAACCCAGGAGCTGTGATTGGTTTTCATGTGGCAAAGAGCAATGTTATTGATCATCTCAACAATGCAGTTTGGAGTGACACATACATGAACTTGAGGCTTTTATAGTAAGGGATAACCTGCTTCGAAATTTGTTCTTTTACAAACATGGGCTAGTATACAATAGCCTTTGATTCCACCTGTGAACACAAAAGAAAGTAGGGATTCATCCCCCACCCACCCCACGCCCCTGCAAAAGGCCAAAGCCAATTAGGTACAGTGATGAGATAAAAGAGCAAAGCGCTACCGAAAAAGGTGTCTGAAAAGTTTGCAGGACAGGTAAAATCGAATACATGGTGGCTGAACAGACTAAAGTAATATCCAGGCAAAGGGAACATGTGTGGTTTTACTCAGGAACTGTAACAGGCCAGAAGTTAGAGAAAAAAGATAGCAAAGGTCCACCTTCTGGGTCTAGTGAGCTTCAGTTTAAAATTTTTGAGTATTCATTATAAACGTCATCTATGTCTGAGTCTTAGTAAAAGATAAATTGGTAGTTGTTACTTATAACTTTTCATGATGCCCAATCTTTTTTTAAAATTGTTTTTATTTCAGTACAGTTGACACACAAGGCTACATTAGTTTTGGGTGTACAACATAGTGATTCAACTTCTCTGTATGTTATGCTGTGCTCACCACACGTGTAACTACCATCTGTTACCGTACAGTGCTATTACAATATCATTGACTTATTTCCGATGCTGTGCATTTTATTCCTGTGACTTATTCCATAACTGGAAGCTTGTGTCTACCACTCCTCTTCCTGTGTTACCCATGCTCCCACCCCATTCCCTCTGGCAACCATCAGTTTGTTCTCTATTTATAGGTCTGATTCTGTTTTTTGTTTCTTCATTTGTTTTGCTTTATTTAAAATTTTTTTTTTCCAACGTTTATTTATTTTTAGGACAGAGAGAGACAGAGCATGAACGGGGGAGGGGCAGAGAGAGAGGGAGACACAGAATCGGAAACAGGCTCCAGGCTCTGAGCCATCAGCCCAAGGCCTGACGCGGGGCTCGAACTCCCGGACCGCGAGATCGTGACCTGGCTGAAGTCGGACGCTTAACCGACTGCGCCACCCAGGCGCCCCATGTTTTGCTTTAAATAGTATTAACTTGAAATAGTTTTAAATTATTGAGACATTTATTTAATAATTAAAAACAAATACTTGGTACAGATAAAATGACAATTAAAAACTGTACAATAATTGCTGAGTTAGGACAAATGTATACAAATGGGGCCTTTTCAAAAATAATCAATGTGTAAAATAAATACTGGGTTTTCAGTTAGTTTCATCATTAGCTGGAAGATAGCATACATGTCTGCCTAATAAAAAGACTACATTTATTGTTCCATATGCTGAGTTAATCGGTAGAGGGGATAAGCATTATAAAGTCACAGGACAAGACCATCTAAAGTCAAATAAGCATCTTCACAGGCAAAAATAGAGTTCTTCTAAGTCTATAATAATTTAGAAAGGCTTGTCATCATCTGCATTTGCCCACAGAAATAGAAAGGTCCTTGAGCAGCTTGTTGCATACTTGGAGCACATATCCTTAAAAAATTGCCAAAAGAGAAATTCATTCAGTTATTCAATGTACATTTATTGAGCACCTACTATGTACCAGGCACTAGTAACACAGATGAAGAGTACATTGGTAAAGCTTAAATTCAGTTTGGTCTTAAAAATAATTTCTATCTGGCCCCTGGGACCACTTATATCTTCTAAAGAAGTCTGCATGTTAGGTAAGGGAGAAATTTCACCTTAAAAAAATGCACAGGTTACACTGGTAAAATTTAACATCTGTGAGGCCTAATGGAACAGTGGGGAAAAGGACTGGATTAGGAGGAGTAGGGAAAGTAGTTCTGGTCCTATTACTTATTAGCTGTGTGACCTTAAGCAAATTTCACCTCTCTGGCCCTAACTTTTCATAAGTAAAATGGTAATTGGGCTATAGTCCAAATATTAGAACCAAAAGGAACAGGGATCATCTAATCCTATGTTTTCCAAAGTCTGTAGTTCAAATGAAAATATGTAGAAACCCCAGTGTAAAAGTGATGAAAGAGTTGCTTTGAAGAAAGCGGCATCCAGAACCTCACTCCCCCTGCCCTCCCCCTCCTCCTGAAGTGGTCCAGGAGGGGGGGCATTCACAGAACATTTGAGAACTACTCATCTAGTCCAAACCCGTACTTTTCAGATGAGAAAACCAAGACACAGAACAGAAGCGATTGGTTCAATGTGCATATGTGGCTTCCTAAATAGGAGGGCTTAATTTATGAATTAAGAAATTCATAAAAAATGCAAATTGTCAAGAAGGAAATTTTCTATTTTGATTCTCTCAAAGTAGTTCCTTTATGAAAGGGAGCTTTGAAATTGATTTTGTTTAAGGCAGCCAGCCAGAGGCTGAAATGAACAACTACCAACTAGCCTGCAGGGTCTATAGAGGATTTTGGCAGAAAACCACACAGACCTCATGTCAGTAGGCACTGGACCTTGCAAGATCCTGGCCCCAACAATGCAAGCACTAGCTGTTTCAAGAGACATATTTGGAAAATTAGGAATGAGTACAGACAAGTGTCCAGCTCCCAGATCCCCAAGGAGGAGTCACCATCTACTACTCAGAAATACTAACAGAAGTGGGCATGTTAGATCTTAAAGTGAACAGTACAACCAAAATCACTAGTCAGAGGCATCCTCTACATGGAGGACGGTCCTAGTTTGATATCTTGACCACTGTTAATCGCAGCAAACTTGAAATTAAACCAGAAAGTTAAAATGCATTGTCCACTGCTGGACCTATTTGGTCAGAGCTGTGATCTCTTCTGATTTCATGGCATCAGACAGGAAGCTGAGCTCATTGCATAAGGTCTCGTATCGGAACGCCATCCGGATCTGAGCAACATTTGTCTTTCGGATATCATTTCCTTCAGGTCCTTCTTTATAATAATTTTGTCCCAGAAACTTTTGCTTCTCCTGTGGAACCAGAGAAGTACAAATGAAACCATATACCTTAGGTTTATTTTCTATATCCCCACAGCAGCTTTGACATTAGCCACACCAAATCAAACCAGTCCCCTGAAGCTGGTCCTTCACCAAGACGTCGTTCCCCACAGGGTTCTTAAAAATTCCTGCTGGCCCATGTGCTCGAGCATGTCACCCTGATGCCCACATTCATTCCCTTCATTTCTGACTATGCTTTCCTTGACCACAAGAAAAAGATAAGACCTCCAGGAGCTGCTGGCAATGAAGAAGGCAAGATGAAGGCATGAAGACTCTCAGTCCCTCCTGAGAGCTGACAGGGGCAAACAGTCTTAGGAAGCGGGTCTGCACAATTGAATCGTGAACATTTAGCTCTTCTCTGCATCAGCATCCAATAAGAGCAGCACCGATGCGGCTTCTTCCTGTACCAGTGACACCACCCCAGGGAGGTACCCAGGAGCCTAAGACACCACATAGAGAAATGGTTCTCAACCCTGTCTCCACATCAGAATCACCTAGGGAACTATAAAAAAAATTACCGATGTCCAGGTCCCATCCCTACAATGTTTTATTCAGTGTAGGTACTATTGACTATCCAAAAAATACTGAGTGCCTACTATGTGCCAGGGACTATTCTACGCCCTAGGGATATAATGCTGAACAAAACCGTCTAATGGAACTTACATTCTGGAAGGAAAGACGGGAAAACACATAACTACATATTACAATGTCAGTAGTAATAAATGTTATGAAGAAAAACAGATTAAAGGGCTGGAGAATGATGGCAAGTGTGTGGCTGTGGTAGAATGGTGATCAGGGAGGGCCTCTCGGAGGAGGTCACGTTTGAGGTGTGAAAGGGTGAAAGAGCAGCCTTGAAAATTCAGGGGTCTCCCCTAGAGAGTTTCAGCGTTCACCCTGCTTGTCATCTTCACGGATCTCAGAGCCTAGAAAGTGCCTAACATGCAGCAGGCACCCATTGTATGTGTGTTGAAGGGACAAGAGGGACAGAAGGCAGTGCCATCACACACCATACCTGATGGGAGAGGCCACTCTGCAGCACGCTGTTCCTGGCGATTTCACACAGGTCACACGTGCTCAGCTTCCACACTTGAGCGGCAATTGCATATTCTTCCATAAGTGCTTCCTAGATCCGCCCCCCCAAAAAGCAAATATATGAGATGGTAGGATATCCATTTCAATCCTTCACATATTCCCAAAGCTAGAAACATCAGACAGACATTGCAGATCGAATTTTTCTTTAATGTCTGCCACCTGGAAAACCAAACAACATTCCCATCCCCTTAAATTATGAACTCGTAAGATCATCTTTGGTGAATTCTCAGGTTTCCAAAGAGAGAGATGTCAAAGAAGCCCTACACGTTGATTTGTTGGCCGGCACATGTTTGAAGCCCTGTGTCAAGTCATGCGGATGCCAGCCTCTGTTCCACTGTGACAATCACCCTGGGCGTGTACATGTTTAGTACCTGCTCTGTAGCTTTGCTTTTTATTTCACATCACTTTCTTCAGATTGCCCCAAAATAAAAGTGAATCTGAATAAAGTATTAAGAGCAAAGCTGGAACATGAAATAAGAATGAGAAATGACCAAGTAGTGAGACAGTAATCCCAAAGGGATTTGGGTTTGAGCTGTGCTTTCTGCCTTATCTCCTAGGATGTGAAATGTCTACCATTGATCATAAGCTCTCCCATTAGTGCTCGGACACCCCCACTGCCTCTGTAACCTAGAGCAGCAGTTCTCAAAATGTGATCCAAGGTCCTGAAGGCCTTTTGAAAGGTCATCCCTCTTCCAACTATGTACCTTTGTGAGGGAAGATTTTCTTCATATACTTTGATAAAAAAAACAAGGCATCACAACCGATTGAATGCAGATGCAGATGTAAGAATCCTGCTGTCTTCTATTAAACCAGACATTAAGGGGATTTGCAAAAATGTAAAATAATGCCATTCTTGATGCCATTTTTTTTTTTTTTTTTTTTTTTTTTTTTTTTTTTTTTTTTTTTTTTTTTTTTTGCTTTTGGACAATATGACTAGTTTCCATAAAAATGGCTATTTATGTTAACATTTGGTAGGTTTGTTAATGTTACTTTTTAAGTATGTATTTATTTTGGGAGATGGAGAATGAGCAGGGGAGGGGCAGAGAGAGAGAGAGAGAGAGAGAGAGAGAGAATCCCAAGCAGGCTCCACACTGTCTGTGCAGAGCCCAATACAGGGCTCAATCCCACGAATGGTGAGACCATGGTCTGAGCTGAAATCAAGAGTTAGATGCTTAACCAACTGAGCTACCCCCAGACACACACAACCTTGTTAATGTTAGTTTTAAGTGAGTTAATATTTTTCAATTTCAAATTAGTTTCTAACACACTTAAATATCACTAGATATAGCTTATGTAATCAACAGCTTTCTGAGGGCCTTTAATTCTTAAAGCTTATAAAGGGGTCCTGAGACCAAAAACTTGGAGAGCCTGTCCTAGAAGACTCAGGCATTTATGTTTTTACTAATCAATGGCTGGTCCCCATGCATGATATTGCCTTTCCCTTCCTCTTTCCTGGCCCTACAGATCCAGAGTAGAATAATAATAATTAATAATAATAATAATAGTATTAAAATGTTAACTAACATTTTGAATACATGCTATATTCAGACACTCTGTTAGACTCTGGTTCATTATCTTAATGGATCCTCACAATAAAGCAGAGGTAGACATAGAGACAATTTCATCCCTATTTTACAGATGAAGAGGAATAAGATAGAGATCAAGTAACTTTACCAACATCATGGAGATAGTAAATGCCAAAGAAAGGGAAAATGGAGAAGGCAAAAAAATAAAATTGTGCCTTCATGGGTTCAAGGACTCCAAAGACAGGGCTCCTGGAAGAAACACTTTTTGCTCCCCAGGAGCTTATCTCTTGCCTTCACTGGGCACCAACCCCACCCCAAAAGCAGAACTGAGTGTGTTCTCCGGTGTGTGCAGTTGGGAGGGCAGACCAGGGCTGGCTGGGGCACCTAACATCCTCACCTTTGTATAGTGGAACTGCATGGGGTCATCAGTGGAGAGAGAAACATGGAGTCCCTTGTGCAGGAATTCCCTCAGAGGGTTTTTGGAATATTCAAGGAACAGACTGTTGTTGCTAAGAGGAGACATGGCAATGGGGATCTGAGCAAGGTAGTAGAGATACTGCAACACCGGACTCTGCAAAAGAACCACCAAACTCAGGTGACAAGCACCAGAGAAGGGAGGGAAGGAGCATTCATCAGTGGAAACCAGGTCTGGCTACTGTCTGTGTAACAGAGCTCCCTGAAGCCAACAGACCCAGATCCCCACCTCCCCTTCCCCACCTCTATGTTCATCTGATACATCACATGCCCCTCTCCTCCTGGGCTGCCCTCCACCTACTGTTGGAGCTCGCCCTCTTGGCTCCAGACAAGGCACAGCTCAGGGCAAGAAGGCAGCTGCAAGGCTCCAAACTGACCCCAGGCTACATACTCTGCTCCCCTCCCCCAGGTACTGCCCCCAGTGGGTCAGCCCAGGAGATGCTGGGCTTTTGTTATGTTGCTTTGACCACAAACATCCAGGATGAGTCTGTAAACGCTCTGGCTCCTCCGAGATGGGAAGGGGCAGACCTGACTAGGCTAGAGTGGTTTTCTGATGTAACACCCTCCGCCCACGGAATTGTGACACACAATTAGACCTCCCCAGGACACAAGAGGCACCAGAGGAGCTTGAGCAAACATCTTTCTTATGGAAGTGATCCAAAATATGGAGAAGACCAAATGGGCAGAGTTCGTGGTTGTTATTATTTACACAAGCAAAAATTTGATAGACTCTGTCGAATAATCAGAGACTAGCTGAATCAATTATAGACCATCCAAGTGGTGGGCCATCCTTCCAACAGCCTTTAGGATGAGGAGCATAAATGTTGCAGCACAGAAAAATGCTTGTTATATAAAGTTAAAGGACAAAGTAGAACCAAAACAAAAAAAAATCTGTGCTCATAATAAGCACATTAGAAATCTGCTCTGGTAAAAAAAAAAAAAAAAAAAATGAGAATTAGAAATCCGAAAAAGCTAATAATGGCTATTTCTTTTAAAGTAATAGCAATAATGTTTGTTTTTTCCATTTCAACATCTTTTGGAAGATCCAAATTGCAATATGTTTGATTATATTCTTTTCATAATTAAATATGATAAATATGAAACCAAGATGACTACAGACAGCCCAACCCAGAAAAAGGCGCCAGCCTTTTAACATCACTGGCCAGAGCCTCCCAGAGGGCAGACAGGAGCCCAAGCGATCCCACTCCTCCCCAGGGGAGCCCATGGCAGGACCATCATTGCAGGGCAGGTTTCCGTGAGTGGTCTGGTTACCTTCTTGAGGAGTAGCCCATGGGAAATGTTGTCAGCAGTCAGGAACGCAGACACCAGGTGGGTGATGGAGCCAGACTCTCCACAGTGAGGCCGGAACAAGAAAGTGCTCAGGCCTCGTTCCCTGCAGAAGTGAGGCTCTTAGTCAGTAAGGACCCCTAGTCCACTGTACGTAGGGCCACACAGGCCTACGTGTACTCCTAGCTCAGGACCTACTCCAGGGAAGACAGTCACCGGTGGGAGAGTCAACACAGCTGACACAGGGCACTCTGGAAACTACCACCCCACCCTCCAAAATACAGAGAGCCAGGTCCAGTGATCTTCAGAACCAAAAGATGCCATCTCTGGGGAACAGAAAGGGGAACCTAGTGGTACAAAGAGAACTTGCTGTGTCCACTACTGACCTTCCCCTCTTTACCACATCTTGTAGCCTAGATTCACAGACCTTCAGAGCAGCAAAGGCCATGTGAAACCATGGAGTCCAACCACTTTGTCATAAAAATGGGCAAACCCAGAGGGTGGAGTCAGGCATTCAAAACCCCTGGGCAGGTCAGCTAGAGCTAGAACTTAAGCCCCTCCCTCCAGCAGCTCAGCCTGGACTGCCCCACCCCAACATCAGGCCATCTCCTCTCAATCATGGTCCATCCAAAACCTCCACAGGCTGCACTGGCTTAGGCTGAGCTAGAGAGGCCCCATGGCCCAGCAGGGGCAGGAGGGAGGCTAGACCTGCAAGGGGGTGGGGATGAACAGCTCAGTGTCTGCTGCTCTGGGCACCCAACTCCCGCCTTACGTGCCCTGTGTGTGTGAGCACTGGTGGGAGCCTGTGCAGATAAGATAGTGATGTGAGCTCCACGAGGGCATGGATTTAGTCTACTTTGTTCTCTGTTAGATGTCTAGTGCCTGGGACAGTGCCTGTCACATACAGTAATCGGTTGCATGGATAGATGCATGTGTGCACACTGTTGGTGTGGTGGAAAGAACATGCGTGTGTGTTGGCATGTCCCATGTCTGTATCATATCAGGGATGAACAGATACACGCATAGCTCTTGGTGGGTATATGTATGCACACATGTGTGTACGGGCATAAAGTCTGGCTGTGTTGTACGATCATGTCTGCGGCATAGCAGCATGCCTGCATGTGTGCATGGTTCTGTGAATACTGTGACCTGTGTTGTGTGCTGGGGCATGACCCCGGGTGTGAGGTGTGAGGGCACACAGACGTGTGTGCAGGGGCTGGGCTCACCCACCTGCGGAGGTTGTTGAGCACCATGATGTTGGCATACATGTAGTACAGGTAGTAGCTGTAGGGCGGGTTCTGCTCACTGGTCCAGATGTCTGGGTTGGGGCTCTTGTCTGAGAACATGTGGTCGCTGTGCTTGGATTCATCATCCACGCTGTCAAACCCTGTCACCTGGGCAGGAGGAGGGGTCCTGCATCAAACTGAGGCAGATGAGCTGCCAAAGGCCTTGGGGGCCAAGCCTCCCAGGTTCATCCGTCAGCTGGGGACCCCATAGCCTAACTGAGGCCACATTCCTCCCAGGGATCGGAAGTGGGGACGATGCCATAACCTGTCCCTCTGTGGCTTCTAAAAGTAGCCAGAAGGCCAGACTGGAGAGTGCGAAGCCCTAGTGTGGTAGTGGTGATGGTAAGAGGGGAAACTCAGACTGGACCAGCCACACCCACCACCCATCCCTCTGCTGTGCCAAGGAGAAGGCCAACACTGCAGGGTAGCTAGCAGAAATTGCCATCAGCAGCAGTGACAACAGCTGTGAGGGGGAATGGGACAGGCCAACTATACGGCAGGCCCTATGCACTTACCACATATCAGCTAATATAACACTCAGAGCCATCCTGTGAGGGAGGGCTTGACTATGAACAAACCAGACCCAAAACGCTTAGGGAGCTTGCCCACGCAAGACAACCAGTCTCTGAACCTAAATGGACTCTGGGTCTGGTCTCTGGGGCTGTGAGTGGAGGATGCCCCTGCAATGTACCAGGTGAGGTCACAGGAAACCAGTCTCAGTGCCTTACAAACAGGTCAAGGTGGGCCCCATCCAGGAGGGCCCCTTGGAGGGTGAGCTGTGGTTCCCAGGAGGGAAGTGCTCTGCCCCCCAACTCCTCCCTGGGAACTTCCCTCTGAGCTTCCTGTCTTTCCACAGTAGCTGCACCTCAGCTGAGACCCAAATTTTGCCCCTGGGGGCACCACCCTGGTCACTGGCTGCCTGGTCACCTGTTCCCAGTCCCTGACCAAACATGTACCTACAGAAGATACAGCCTCTCGGCCAGCACAAAGGAGCAGTTCTGCTAACGCATCTCCCCCACTTTTACTCAGCCGCAACAGCACTTTGGAAGGAGCCTCTGAATGACTCCACCTTGCTCCACAACTGGCCCAAACTGGGGAGTCCTGGCCAGGTCTGCCAGCCTCTGCCATTCCTATATGGGCAGTAGGTGCCCAGAGGAGCAAGGGACCATGAGGGTCCTTGCGGAATCTTCCCTGTCATAGAAACACGTGTCAAAAGCAATGACATGGCTGCCACCACAGCTCCCAGCATGGCCTGGATGGGTCTGGGGGCCAGGGAGGCCCTTGAGCCCTGCTCTGTACTCACTAGCCCTGTGCCTTACCTGAACTCTCCAGGGCCTGACATGGAGGTAACAACAGTCCCTCTTCTCAGCTTTGTATTCAACAGATGGAGGGCCTCAAGCACAAAATATGTCCAATCCCCAACTCCTCCTCCTCCCCAAGTGTGCTCTTCCCCCACTTCTAGTGACCTCTGAAGGCACAGGGTCCACTCTCCCACAAAGCCGGGCACTGGGGAGGCACCCTAGATTCTTCCTCTGGGCTCACCTTCAGGCTTTGCCCAGGTCCTGTCGATGCTGCAACCATGCCCACCGCATGCCCAGAAGCCCTGGCCTGCCATCTGCATATGCCTCACTTTTCCTACTTGGGAGGCACTACAGCATGAGGGTAATAACACCTACTGGGGAATCAGACACCTGGATATGAATTCCAGTTCTACCACTTTTGAGCCTCATGTGATTTCCTCATATGTAGATTGGAGCAAGTAGCTTCACTGGGCTGAATTAAATGAGACAATCCGTGGAAGCATTAACAGTGCTTCATACAGCAAGCATGTAATAATTCTGCCCAGCATGAACACCAACAAAATGACGTGGAGTCAGGTAATCATGAAGCTGAAGCAAAACCATGTCATGGTGTGGATCACTGGGCAGGCAGCAAACACTCATAACTGTGAGCTGTTCTGCTGGTGCAAGTCCCCGGCATCTGTCTCTACTGCTGGAGCAGGCCCCCTGGCTCTCATCTTGCCCCTTTCCCCCCACCTTTAGCTACCGTCTGTTCCCGGCCTTTCTCCATACAACAGCCAGCATGGTGTTTGTCTAAAACATAAATTCAATGACGTCCTTCAGCCTGCCCAAACATTTCCTAGCAGCCCCCTACACACACACACAGAGACCCCATCCATCACTCCTTCCCACACCCCCAGCTCTCCAGAACCTCTGCCTCCCTCCCTGTCAGACCCCCAGAACCTCCATGGGGTACTGAACTTGCTTCTCACTGTCTACAGCCATCTCCATTCTGGGAACCCAGAGGGAGGGATCAAGGCCTGCCCCACTTATACCCTTTCTGGTTAACTTCTCCTCTATCCCTTCTTCCCCTCTCCCATAACTAGCCAGATAAATGCATGTTGTCGGGCTTGTGTACTCAACCAGACAAGACGTGAGGACCATTGTTATGAGGTAAAAGCAAGAGCACTGATTGTCTACATTTCTAAAGACCTGGGGGTGCTGCTGGGCGCTTCTGGGGACAGAATCCAGTCTTTCCACCACCACCCAGCCAGGAACCGACTCTTCAGTCTTTCCCCACTGCTGTCTTCCTGGCACCCCATCCACATCCCAGGGCTGCCCCTGAGGAGAAGGGGACTTCCCCTACCCGGAGCAAACTCATTATTTTGGAAATTCAGTTTCTTGGGATTGGCCACCCCTGCCTGGGGCACAGAGTGACAGGATCTGAGAAGGGAAGCCTGACCCAACCCACTTGGAAGTTTCTCTTCCCTTCACCACTGGGCACATCACCTGAAGCACCACCCACACTTACATATTTGAGGAAAAGATGAAGCTCTCGGTGATCCTGGGGGTTGATTGTGGCCTCAAAAAGGGGCAGGAAGATATTCTCCAGCATCTTCCCAAAGCTTGGCAGCAGCTTCTTTGACCTAAATATGTCACTGGGGGGAAGCAGAGACTTGCTGATTAAAGTGAACCTACCAGCCCTGTTGGTCTGTGGGAGAGCAACCCCATCGCTTCCTCAGGCCACTTGTGTTTCCATCTAAACACCCGGAGTAGAGTCAGAGATGTGGCTTGAACACAGGTCCTTCCCCTCCTCTCCAACTCCCAGCAAGTTCTGCAATGCTAGGCATTGGTCAACGCCCACCCATGCCCATCAGAGAGCTTTTCCAAGCTAGAGGCCATGCTGGAGTGGGGTGCTGGGACTCAGGCTGACCAAAGGTCTGAGAGATGAGTTCTCAAATTTCTTGGTTCTCAAATTTCTCCTCCACTGAGTTGAGTTCCCTTAAACCACATATCCCGGCCCACGCAGGGACCATGAGCCCCACATTGGCCAGATGGAAGAAGACAGTGGTCATCTGAGTCCTAGCCATGGAAATCCAGTGCCAGCAACGCCACCATCAAGTTACTCATACCCAGGGGCTCATGCAAAAGGATAATCCACCCTCAAACCCCATTGAGAATATGGGTAGTAGTTCCTGCTAGGTTTTGCACAGGCTTGTTCTTCAAAGAATGAGTTTAAGTGTCACAAGGACAACTTTGCCAACCACCCCCGCACTATGGGAAAATCCCTAGGGAGGAGAGGCCCAAGCTGGCACCAGAACCGGCCCCACCAGCAATAGTACAGACTCAGCAGCCCATGAGGGACAGGCTGTGTCCCCAGAGGGCATGGGCAGACAGTGGGCCACCTCACTTACTAGATCCGGGGCACCTGGATGATCCAGCGCATGTTGGGTGAGTAGACCTTGTGCTGGATGAACCAGCGGGCCAGTTTGGGCCACTCCTTGGGATTGCGGCCATAGATGGACAGCCGTGGCTCTGAGTACTGGTACTTGCTCTCCTCCAGCTCCCTGGCCACCTCCTAGCACCAAGAAGAGCTCAGGTCAGCCCAAGAGCACCCCAGCTGCTGGACCCTGCAGCTCCCTCACCACCTGCTCCCAGGCTGGGAAGGCCTAATCTACATCCCCTCGCTGCCATGTAACTACTCCTCCACCTCAGTAGAGGCTCCTTCCTGGGGCAGGGGAAGGCTGTGGTCTGCACAGTCACATGTCTAACCAGGCCAGGCAGCAGAAGCCCCTCCAAATGGAGCTACACTGCCCCAAATCCAGACTGCAGACAGGGCAGTGAGCCTGGCTGCTGTGAGCACTGGTGGATACCCTCCCTTCCTCTGGCGTGCATTCAGCACCTGCAGCACCAGTGTGCCCATGCTCGGGAGCTGGCAGCCTGGGCCACCTCACAGGGCTCCTAGGTGCCTGTGCCTTGCCTGAGCTGGATGGTGGATTGATGGGGATTCGGGGAGGGGAAAACAGGAGGCTATGCAGCGCCCCCACCCTCTGCAGGTAGATGCTGTCAGGTATCGGAAGAGGGCTTGGAGAGGCCCAGGGCTCACTCGCCTTGACCATCCGAGCAAAGTACTCTCCTCCCAGGTAGTTTTCAGTTTTCAAATATAGGTCGCGCAGCTCACTGGCCCCGACAGGGTTGTATTTGGAGTTGAACTTGTCAAAGCGATGGAATGTCTGCCGGCCCTGGAGAGAAGAGACCACCAGGCAGATCACCACATTGTTCTGTAGCCACCATACACATTTCTCTCTCCAGGCCTTTACAAGGGGGTCTTATGTGCAGCCATGCTGATGGCTATCTTCTATGTCAGCTCTTGCATGAAATCTTGGAAAGTCCTGGGGCCAGGATGTGTCTCCTCACTCAGTCAGCCCCGGGGTCCTGTACTGAGGCCCTCTGTGAAGGATCAAGGCATCTCGTGCTCCAAGAAACCACGGCTAGGAGCATCACTGGCTGAGTGAGCAGAAAACACCAGACTACTAACCAATCAGTAATAAAGGGTGTCTATTACTGCTTCGACTTCATCAGGCACTTTCTCCACATTACTTCATTCAGTGTTTTATTTGTTTTACTAAGATTTTTTTATTGTGGTAAAAGATACATAACACAAAATTTATCATCTTAACCGTTTTTTAAGTGTGCAGTTCAACTGTCTATCTTGTAAAACTAAAACTTTATACCCATTAAACAATAACTCCCCATGACCCCTTCCTCCTGGTTGCCCCTGGTAACCACCCCTCTCTCTCTATGAATTTGCCTATTCCACGTACCTCATATGAATAAACCATATACCCACTGTCCTTTTGTGTCTGGCTTTTCTGACTTAGCATGTTTTCGAGGTTCACCTGTGTTGTAGCAGGTATCGGTACTTCATTCCTTTTTAGGACTGCAGAATATTCCATTGTGTGTATCTATCACATCTTGTTTATCCATTCATCTACTGATGGACACTTGGGTCATTTCCACCTACTGGTTGTTGTGAATAGTGCTGCTATATAAGCTCTGGTGTGCAAGTATCTGTTTTAGTCCCTGCTTTCAATTCTTTTGGGTATATTCCTAGAAGTGGAATTGCTGGAATATAATAGTAATTCTGCATTTAACTTTTTGAGGAAACTCCACACTGTCTTCTATAGCAGCTGCACCATCATTTAGAATTTTAATAACTTCGTAATATCAACAAGGCACATTTCATAAACAAGGAAATGAAAGCTTAAGTGACCTGCTTAAGGGCACACAACTCCTAACTGGCAGAAGGAGAATTAGAAAGGGGACCTGTCTGACTCCAGTCACACTCTTTTTTCCGACCCCATGGCCCTGCTATTCCCTGAGGCCAAACTACCTCTTATATCTCCTATGGCTAGAAGAGAAAGAGCTGCTTACACCGCCAGCCTCTCTCCAGGCACAACCATGGCTTCCTTCCAGCAGGTTGAGTCCCCAACCAGGATGGCTTGAGGCACTAGGGCAGAACCTCACTCACCGCATGGACATCCAGTGAATCGACAGTGAGATCATATGGGTCCATGTGCAAGCTGTCGAACACCTGCCGCAGGGTGATCTTCCGGCCCCGCTTCTCGGCCACAGTCCTGTCAGGCTCTGTCTTGTACGTGTGCTTGATAAAGCGCAGCAAGTGCTTCTGGTTCATGCAGGCAGCTGCGTGGATGTGTGTGTCCACCTGCAACATGGTGCCCACAAGCCATGAGCCAGGCCACCTCCCCTGGCCACAAGAATTGGGGTGTCCAACCCTCAAAGTGGACGGCAAAACCTCAGTATCCATGGCCCTACTAATGCCTGAATCTACACCCCTCCCCCCAGTTTCTCCTCTAGGCTTTGAAACTGGTCCTCCCCCTAGTTTTGCTGCTCAATTCACCTCATTATAGCATCCAAAGATCTTTTTAAAATGTGTCTGGCCATTCCCCAGCTAACAAAACCATCAATGGCCCCCAAGTCTTCAAGATAAAGCTCAAACTCCTTAGCCTGGGATTCAAGGCTTACTTCCACCCTTAATTCCCACCTTACCACTGCCTGCTCTATGCTCCAGCCATGACATACCACTTACAGGCACCCGAGGCATTGTGCTATTCTGCACCACATCACTTTGCCCATGTGTCTCCTCTGCCTGGCATGTCTTCCTTCCTCCTCACCAATCTCATCCACCTACAGGGAATTTCTAACCACCTCCTCCTCCTGGAAGCCAATCCTGATCCCCTCGGCACACTGACCAGTTTTTCCCTTGCCCAACCAGGAAAGCTAGCATGGACACTCCCATTAGTGTACATGTCTCTGCTGTTCACTCTACAAATTCCCCATCTACTCTGTCACTAGACTGGGAGCACAGTGCTCAAGGACAGAGACCTCATCTTATGCATCTAAGTCTCCAGTGCCCACCCAGAGCCTAATATGATGCATTTGTTGAGTCAATGGATGGATGGATGAACAAATGATGATATCCACATCCTCAAATAACCCTAAGGGCCCGCCAAATGCCCCACAAGGTACCATTCTTCCCACTGACTTCTCTTGGAATATTCCCATCAGCCACCAGCCCTGAGGAAACAGAGACCTGGCTAATCCGGGGGATGGCTGAAGTCACAGTGGGCATCCTGATGCCCCTTGCACGAGACCAAGGGGCCTCAGGGAGGTCCCCAGGGAGAGAGGCAGCAGTCTCATGGGCTCTGCAGTTACTGCTGTAGCCGGCTGGGTACTCTGCCAGGGCCAGGATGAGGAGGCAGCTGACCTCTGGCCAGGGAATGCTGTCCACAGCTGGCCAGGCATCTCCAAGTCAGGCCAAACCAGACATTTGATCTGTTGAATTTCTGTGAATAGTGTCTGAGCCAGCCCATGTCACTGACAGCATCACTGACTCATCCGGGCCCTTCTTGCCATTAATCTTGCCACTTCCAACCAGAAAGACCACTAGACATCAAAGAAATAAAACAATTCAAAGCACCAAAAGCTAAAACATCGCCCAAAGCACACTGTAAAGGCTCAGTCATCTCAGGGATAGGCTGGGCTCATGTGGGATGCACAAGAGGTCAGCCTGGCTTAGCTCAGCAGGACGCAGCTGGACTCCACTACCTCAGCATGACAGAGCACATTCTGGGCTTTCTGCTTGTGTCCTCTAGCATACCAATGACACACTGCAGGGGGTGCAGTCTGTCCTTATCCCCACGAGTCACAAGATGAAGGAAGAAAACAACTGGACAATCCAGGAAGCATCCAATCCAAACTTCGGAATGTCCAAGGTGATTATTTTAGAAACAAGTAAAAGAGCCTGTCATTGGATGTCAGTGTTTTCAATTCACGAGGAGACACCAGCATGTTCTTGTTTTCACCTAAGATCCAGGTGTAAGCAAACAGTACAGTTTACACACAGGGCTGGCCAACACTGGCCATTTCCACATGCATAGCAGACATCACTAATTGATTGCAGCACTTTCACTATGCTTTGGGAGTAGCTACTGCCAAATGGTCAAGTCTGGCACAGAAGATGAAGCCTATTTGCTATGCCTGATATGGCACGTAAACCAAAGTGGATTGAGGACTAATCTTACCCAACTCCTAAGCAGTAAACACACTCGGCCCTGGTTCTTACCTCTGAGCAAACAACAAATGTCTCAGTTACACAGTCCTGCTGGTTGGGCCCCGTGGTGTCATGACACATGACCTGTTGTGATGTTGCAGATACTTTCACAAACACCACCCACACAGACCCAATGGCCACGCACAGCTTCTGCCTCAGAGCACAGCCCTGGTTTGCCCTCACAACACTGATAGCTACCTTAGAAATATGGAGGCCACCCTCCCAGGCCACCCTGGGTTTCAGAAAGCCAGTTCTCTCACAGAAGAGGTTTCCAAGGTAAGATAGAGCAGTCAGCACCCAGGAGGCAGGGAGGGGCAAGCAGAGGCCCGACTTGGAGCAGATCTGGGCCCATGTTTATGGACTGCTGTGGTGCCAGAAAACAGGCCACTGCATTACGGCACAGGGGTTAAGTCCATCTCTATCCAGAGAGCACGTTTAGCCTCAGACTGAGAGGGGGATCCCTAGGGTTAGGTAACCACGGCCCCCTCTAGGACCCTCTTCCACATCACAGCCAGAGAGCAGCTGGTTGGCTCAGGAGCCCACCCATTGGGGCCCTACCTCAGAAGCAGTGTCCCAGCCAGTAAAATCACCAAGGACACCTTAGCCCCAGGCAGCAGGAAGTAGGCCCAGAGCACTCATGTGGAGGGTAGGACTGCACTGGGCTGGGCAAGAAGCTTCCTCAGACACCCATCTGGGTACGTGTAGTGCATTTAGGCAGGGCTGAGAGGGACTGGCATGGTGCCTGAGCATCTACCTGTCTGAGCACCTGAGGCTCTTAGAGAAGGAGCAAATAGTGCTCAAAGGTAAGGGTACCAGGTAGGTGATTTCTCACATATGCTGTCACCTCTACCTGGAACCCCCTGAGACACTTCCATAAGCCTCACAGCTCATGAGCTGAAGTCACCTCTCATTCTCAAGCCTCTTCCTTGAGAAGAGCCTTGGATGGATGGTCCCATCCAAGGGGAGTCCATGCCAGACCGCAAGAAGTGACCTTAGAACCCCCTAGAGGAGGCCCCCAGGGATGGGAACTCACTTAACAGAAGTGACCTTGGGACCTCTCTGGAGGAGGCCTTCCAACCATCACAGCTGAGTGTTCCCAATCAGGTCAGGGAGGCTTGGGCTCCACAGAGGAGCCACATCTTCCCTGTACCCCCAGCCAAGGTTCCCCTATCAAAGCTTGCCCCAGAGAGAGGCAGTCCTCAGGGGTCACATCTAGGACAGAGGCCCCAATGGAGATGAGGACCCCACTGTGACTCAGCTCAGGTTTGGCCATGAGGCAAAGCCTAATCCCCACCCTTCCCCTATGAGCTCCTGTCCCAGAATACTACCATGCCCCCTCCCCCTTCCCAGCTTCCTCTGCGAACCCCAGGGGCCCTGCATGGTCCAGAACCTCATACACCTCTGCCAACACACTCTCCCCACAGCCCAGCACCACGCTCTCCCCCAGCACCTGAGCTCCTGTCACACCACACCACCTGCTGTCGTGGCATACACTGGTCGTAGTCTCTTCTCTCATAGCACCCTCTCCCTCTTGGTCTTTGCATATGCTGTGCCCTCTGCCTGGAACGCCATCCCTTTCATTCCTTTGCCCCCAACCCCACCCCCCTCCAGGCTGACTCCTACTCACTCTTTAAGCCACCCCTGCCACAACACCACACTGAGAGGACTAGGCTAGGAACTTCTTGGGGATGGGCAGCGACTGCTGCTCAACATCAAACACCCCATGCTTAGCACTGATATTCATGAATGGAAGAAAATGGAAAAGCTGGAATCCATGATCATTTAACCTACACACCTGCCCCAGCTGCAGCCCCTGCAGGCCACAGGAACCTGAGCCCAGGCTAAGCCTCCCCCTCCACCCTAGGGGAGTGGCAGAGACAGGAGCACATCAGGTCTTTTCCATAAATACACCTGATCCAGAAGGAAGCAAAACCACAAACTCCCAAGCCCAAAGAGTTCATAACAGCCTTTTCTCTCTGTGATGAATGTAATACATCCTCTACCTTAAAAGTAGCCTGACCTCAAGTCTTATGACAATTAACAGACAGACCATACCCTATTTTCTAAGGAAGAGGGCACATTCCAAGAGATACATGATATGGACAAAGATTTCCACCTAGAATCATACCCAGCATGATCTGAGGCATGGCCTGAGAGAAGGAAGGCAACTCACCAGTCTTCCTTCTGCATGTACACATCACACTCCTCTGGCCAAGGAAGACCACACAGGGGTCCAGCCCCAGACTCACCCAGGGTATCCCAGTGGTTTGGAAAGGGGACCGGGAGGGGTGACTCTCAACAGTGGCCCACTGACGCACCTTTCTCACATTATAGAAGTCTCGGTGAGGGTTACTCTTCAACTCTTTGAACTCAGACATTTCATTTAACATCTCATGAAGACTGAACTTGGATTCCAGAAAGTTTAGTCGCCGGTGACAGTATGTTTTCCTGCAAGTGGGGAGAAACCACAGTTAAGGAGAAGTGGCATCAAGCTCTCCAGTTTTGAGACCTCCAGTGGCTGTGGGGACCAACCCTCAGGTGCAAGGTCAGGATGCAGCAGGGAGGGATGTGGTGGTCCCAGCTTTCTGCAGACACAGCTGACCTGTGTAACCACCTCCACATATTCCACGAAATGAGCAGAGAGTCAGTTCAGGGCAGTGGAAAGCTGACTTTGCAAACTCATACAGGTGCTCTGACTTCTAGCTTTATGTGCTTAAGTAATTCATCCCAAGCCTCTGTTTCCCATGAGCAACTACAGAGATGGCAATGCCCAGGACTGAACTGGAGGCTAAATTGGCTCTTGTGTGTGAAGGGCCTAACTCTGAGCAGAGTGGATGCTCAATAAAAGTCTCCCTCCTCATCCCTTCCTTCCTTCCTTCCTTATGTCTTCCCATTGATCCTCAGCCACCTTTACTTCTTTAAAGAGTTTCACTTCTCCCCAGAAGATCAGGAGTACAGTCAAACTATAAGGCAAGACCTGCCTACCTTTGGCATAGAGAGGAAGCATCCTGTAATCTAATGACATTCCCCAAACCCCAAGACCTGAAGACCCCTCAACTCTAAGGTCTCAAGACAAGCAGAGGATGTTTTGTATCATGGGCAGATTAGGAATGTAGGGATGTTTAGTAGCACAGAAATCTCTGCATGGACTGATGCTCCCACCAGCCAGCAAAGGCCCCCAGGGGTGGGAACTCACTGCTCCTGGCCAACTGCCAGCCCACAACCAACCCAGGGGTCTGGCCATGTGCCTGTGCTCAAGCCACACGGAACCTTCAACCACAAGTCACGCCACCCTGCTTCCTTGTGGCCCCCAAATAAACAGCAGCTCTCATGGCATGCAATCACTCGGACATTCTTAAGGACCAGCTGTCGACCCTGGAACGTCACCATGTCAGCCGAGGCAAGCCCCAGAGCGGCACAGAGGATGCATGAAGAGTCTGAGTCACGAGGGATTTCAAAAGCCATCTCCACCCAATCCTTTCCCCAGCAGGTCTCACCTGGATAGCCTCCTGGACAGGACAGCCACTGTTTACATACCTCCCGGAACAGCCAGGGTCCTCCCCCTACCCTCCCTCCCAAGGCTCCCCCTCAAAGTTCCTCCTCACAAGGCAGAGGCAAGCCTGCTGGGAACTGCTTTTTCCCCCTCCCAGATCTGTCTTCAGATCAGTGAGGACAGAGAACTACTCTGCCCACCCCCCAGGGGTCCACTCCCTGTCTTGGGAACTGGCATCACACCATTCCCAGAAAAAACCTAAAGGCAGTGCAAGAGAGGTCCCTCGGCAATGACCAGCACCCTTTCCCTCCCCCAGCTTTCCAGTCCTGGCTGGACACTCACAGCACAGCCACTTGAGGGTTCAGGGACCGGCCCTCCTCTGCTGATGAGCTGCAGTGCTCACCAAGGAGGGAGGGGCCCAATGCAGGGAGACGACTGACCGCCTGACACGTTAGCTCAGCCAAGCCCGTGAGCATCCTGGGGGTCATGGCACAAAGTCCCCAGGCTCCCTGCACTCTCCCCTCCAGAAACATGGGAAAACCAATGCCTGCGGCAACAGCCTTCACCTCTCCCCTACCACCTGTGGTAATGCCCTGGGCGCTATCTCCACAAGGCCACTGCCCTGCCTGGGGAGAGCGAGAGCAGCCACTCTCAGGTACACAGGTGGCCACCAGCAAACAGAAGCTCCACATCTAGGATGCAGAAGGGACAGGTAGTACCACTCTAAGAACATGCCAGCCTATGATGGAAAATCGTTGCAGGAACCCACAAAGCACTGGGGAAGGGGACAAGTACTCTCTTTCTGGTATGACTGAAGTGCAGGCAAGCCCAGAGTTAAAGGGTGAGCTGACCTTTCCCAGCCCCTTCCTACAGAACAACCCCCATGCAAAGAGAGGCAGACCCGGGGAAAGCTGGCTTACGTGGGACCATCCGTGATAAGAGCCAAGATGTGGCTCATGTCCACTGTGTAGGTCTCCAGGTCGGGGTAGGGTAGGCTGTGGGGCTCCTGGCGCTCCAGCATCTTCTTATTATCATACACGAAGAGGATGCCCCCCTGCATGCAGACCAGGTAGCCCAGGTTGGGGGGAGCATCATCCAGACAGTAAGGGTCTTCCTGGGGTGGAGGGGGAGGGTGGAAGTCTGCAAAACAGGATTGAGTGATGGTAAAGTGCCCTTGACCTCTTGAGCTCACAGGAGCTCAAAAGTCACATTCCTTAGCCCTCTAATGAGGGATATCCCCATCATCTTATCTAAAACCTAACCACCCCACCTACCCCCACCTACCCTGACATCATATATCTCCTTCCCTGCTTTATTTTGTTTCCTTAGCATTTGCCACTATGTAAAATAATTTCACTTACTTATCCTAGGTAGTATATGTTTGGTTTGTTTCCTACTGTATCCCCATTTCCTAGAACAGACCCTGGCACATGGCTAGCACTTCAGTAAATATTTTTAATTTAACTGAAATGAACCTCAGCCTCCTGGGCATGACAGGGATGCCAGGCCCATTAAAAAGGGCAGCTGTGTCCTCTCCTAATAAAAGAACAGGCAGCACTTGGGACTGCCCAATGGGAATAATTTTCCCTGTCCTCCCACATCTTCCTGAGCCGAGGGCAGCCAAGAAGCTGCATGGAAAAGCCTCCTCCTCCCCAAAGTGAGCACAGAATAGGCAGCTTATCTCCCACAGAGCAGGGAATGGCAACGACAGAGCTATCTGTCCCCACAGCTGTTAGCCCACAGGAGGCAGAAAACACCTCTTGGCTATTTCCCAGCTATGAGACCGAACAAACCACTTCAGCTCTCTGATCCTGTCTGCTCATCTGAGAATAACACAACCTGCCTTAACGGGCTGTGGTGAAGGCTGCAAAAGTGGGCATAAGAAATGCTTTGTAACAGTAACGCCTAACCCATTAATTAGAGGACATTATCCTCATTACTCTTATAATGAGTATTCCTAACTCTTGATAAGCTCTGTCTCTGGCCAGGGAACGGGTTCTACTAAATAGCAGTAAAACTGGGGGCTACAACTCTGCACATCAACCAACCCACATAGAGCCCACCTTCTCAGATGCCAGCGAGAGCTAGGGACACTCCCTGGAATCTTCATCAAAGAAGGCAACCAAGGCAGTGTCCCCCATTCAGTGCTCAGAACAGACTGTCCCAGAGCAGGAGTGAGGCATCACAGGGGCTGAAGCAGCACAGCCCCAGGCTAGCTCAGGAGTCCCTAAAGTGTGCCAGGGGCCTGTGAGATGCAGGCAGGACCAAGGCCTGCAAGAAGCCACAGCCTCTGTCTCACCACGCTCATTTCCAGCCCCCAGGGTACTCTGCTTTGTATAGAGTACACATTTGACAGTCATTCCTGTCTGCCCTTGCCCAAACTGGGGCAGATGGCATCAACTTGCCTCAGACAGATAGGGAAATGGGCCCCGAAGTGTTGAGATACACCCAGGGTCCCAGGTAGCAACAGATGCCCAAAGCCCAGGTCTCAGAGCTGCAAGGAAAACCCAGACAGGAGAAGACCTGTCGACAGCAGTTACACCCAGCAGGCAGCCAGGTCCTTGGGCACTGGCACAGACCACCAGGCCCTCATCTGATCCCCCACCACCACCTTCACAGATAGTGGTTTCTTGTTGTATTCATTCACGTTACCTAGCTTACAGCCTCTACTGCTCCTATGTCCTTCACAGGCCAGTCTCCACCAGAAATCATCCTCCCATCTCTGACCTCCTCTTCCCCAAACGCTGCAGAACAGGCCCAAGGCATAGGTATTATTCCCATTTTACATATTGAGAAACTGAGGTCTGGCGAAATACCTTGCCCAAGAATGTGGTGGAGCTGAGACCAGAATGCAGGTGTGTTTGATGTCAAAGCCTACTTTCCCTACCCCCAGAACATGCACTCTGCATCTATCCCCACACTACCCCACCCCACCAGCAATTCAACATTTACTGTCTGATGGTGTTGTGTTAAACACCCAGAATGAGATTGCCTATGTCTCTGGAGGATTCTCTAGCTCAGGGTTTGCCTCTCTCTTAACTTCTATAGCTCAGCTCTGTCCAGAGCCAGGTACACAGTGCGCACAGAATCAGACATTGGGGAAACCAGCAAACGTGGGTGTAGGAAGCCAATACCAGAGCCTTGCCCTTAAAACACCATGTGGGAGAAATACATCCAGCCAGAACAAAGAGAATACATCCGGCCAGTACCAATTCTTGGGCCGTGCCCCACTTGGGACCCACATGCACCCACCTGGGAGGCCCTCCTCTGGAGGTGCAGTGTCTACCCTCTGATCACCCAGGTACCGGGCCGTGGTCCGTGGGAAGCGATGGTAGGCAAGTCTGGCATACTTCTCCCGTATCATCAGGGCCTTGGCTAGGCTTTTGGCAGCCTGCTCATAGTCCTCCACGGTGATCTGCAGAAGGAGGTGTGCAGAGAAGAGTCCGTATCATAGGCCTGAGACCACTGTCCTTAACAAGATCTACTGTAAAGTTGGCTTTCGGCTGCTGGCTGGGAACTTGGGCTTCAGGGGGCATTCTTCCCACTGACTCATACGAGCAGCTCACCCAGCCTAAAATGTACAGTTTATGCTCGGTTTATGTCGAACACCTGATTTCCTCGAGGAGTCTGGGAGACAACGTTTTTATTAACCTTAGGTGCTGAGTCTCTAATGAGCTTCCATGGTAGACGACACTTCAAACTTGTCATAAATCAATGCTGATAGAATTAAGTATGTTCTGGTGACTCCACGGGGAGAGGAGTCTGGCCTCTCCATACTCCACCCCCTGTACCTTTTCCCGGTGCTGACTTCGCTCTGCATCCATTTGCTATAATAAATCCTAGTCCTGAGTATAACTGTGTGCTCGGTCCTAGACGTCCTCTTAGTGAATCACTGAGCCCAGGGGTGGTCTTGGGGACCCTTGGCACAGGAGGAGAGTTACAGCTGCCAGAGACTAGGGAAGAGGCAGGTACTCTAGCCTGCACCCCCAAGGCCAGCCCCAAGTCCTGCTGATTAAACCACAAGCCTGCTGTTGCATCCTGAACATGAAGAGGCAAGGCCAGAACATATGTCTGATCAGAGGGTGAGTATCATTGCTTTCACATGAGGGACTCACCTGAGTCCCTCAGAGGGAAAAATAAAAACTCTGCACGCTCTGTCTGCTGCTTTGCTTTGGCTTCTGATTCGTGTGTTAATCATTCAATTCACCCAGGCAACAAGCGCTTGTTGACAAGTGTTAGATTTCATTTTGGTCCTTACGGCAACCCATTTTACAAATGGGGAAACCACAGCCCAGAGAGGCCCAGAAGTTACAAAGTCAAACTTCGGATTCTGATCTGACTGGGTCCCAAAGCCTAAGCATGTTCTGCTTTCCCAGAGCTGCCTCATACTCAAAGACAGACAAGATAAATTCCCACCTTCCATTGGGCTCATTTACCTCTGTGCATTTGGCAAGGATGTGTGTGGCAGAAACATGAATGTGTCTGGGGAGACAAGCCGTAACCAGACAGTCGTAACAGGAGGTAAGTGACACAGCAGAGGGAGATACAAGATACTGGTGGAGCATGGGGCGCCGGGGTGGGGAGGGTGGCAGGGGTGTTCCTGGAACTTTTCCTCTCTGCTTTAATTAAAAATCATTTTTAGTTTTGGTGCACCTGGGTGGCTCAGTCCGTTAAGCGTCTGACTCTTGCTTTCAGCTCAGGTCATGATCTCATGGTTCATGAGTTCAAGCCCCGCATCGGGCTCTGTGCTGACAGTGTAGAGCCTGCTTGGGATTCTCTCTCTCCCTCTCTCTCTGCTCCCCCCACCCCCGACTCACTCTCCTTCACTTTCTCTCAAAATAAATAAACATTAAAAATTTTTAAAATCATTTTTAGTTTTAAAATACTTTAAACATAAAGACAGCACTGAAGATAATATGACAGACACTCACGTGTTTACCTTCCAGAGCTAAACTTTTAATGTTTTTCATTACTGTTCCAGATCTCTTATATACATGAATAAATAAATCATCATAGATATAGCTAAAACTCTACCCTCCTTGTTCCTTCACCCTACTCCAGCCTCAGAGGAAGGAAGTTGGTATATATCTTTTCCATGCATGTTTTTATACTTTCACTAAATGTTGCTCCTCACTTTGGTTAAGAAAGTAACTTCTCCTTTCCTGATTCCAAATGTCCCCATAAGAGTGTGTTAATTCCATTTTACACCTTCCAGTGGATGGCTTCTGGGAGTAGCAGGAATAGGTGAGAAGACACAAACACCTTAGAACCTTAGACAAAAATATGTCCCTGCCAATGACAAAGCCAAACACCTTGCAGAGCCAATGGACTCAGCCTGGCAAGGGGCTCAGGCCATGGCTAGAGAGGGTACTTGGGATCCCAGGGAATGACCAGCCATCGGCCCACTTGTAGATACTGCAGGCCCCATGCCGACAGTGGGCCTACTGGGGGCCAAGGTGATCTGCAAGGTCAGCCTGTTTCTCATGGACTCATAGTTCTCTGGGGACCAACCGCCCAGCTCAGGGGCTCTGTGCCAGAAATCAATGGAAAGAAGCTAGCTACTGAACCAGGCCAACATCCTCCCATTCAGCTGGCTTTCAATCTACTTCAACTCCCCCTATTCCTGTTCTGCCCACGTCAGAGGCCAGGTAGACACCAAGGACTCCTGGTCAGGATACTGCTTCTTTGGGGAAGGACTGCATTGTTTCCAATCCAACAAAATTCCCATCCACAAGAACTTAAAGTGTGGTACATCCACACAGTGGAATATTATGCACTTATATACATATTTAAAAAAAAAGAACAGGGGCGCCTGGGTGGCGCAGTCGGTTAAGCGTCCGACTTCAGCCAGGTCACCATCTCGCGGTCTGTGAGTTCGAGCCCCGCGTCAGGCTCTGGGCTGATGGCTCGGAGCCTGGAGCCTGTTTCCAATTCTGTGTCTCCCTCTCTCTGCCCCTCCCCCGTTCATGCTCTGTCTCTCTCTGTCCCAAAAATAAATAAAAACGTTGAAAAAAAAATTAATATTAAAAAAAAAGAACAAGGAAGTTCTTCATCTATTGAGAGGCATTATCTCTAAGATGTACCGTAAAGTGTAAAAAGCTAGACTCAGTATAATGTGTAAACTACCATTTGTGTAAAAATAAACAAATTATATGTGCCTAATTAATTGTAGGTACATAGGTTATTTGTGTGAAAACACACAAGGGTTGCCTCAAACAAATAACATATTTTTTAAAACTACAGGGTAATGTATAAGAAGAGTAGTAGCTACTTTGCTTTCTCAGATATATCATATATTCTAAAACCACTGTTAAAAAGAAGAGAGAACAACAAGGTCAATTGAGGTCAACAGGTAGCTGGTTGAGGGCCAGGGAGATAGACTCAGACTTAACCCTGGCACTAACTGATATTTCTCTTCAAGAAGTAGGGGCACCTGGGTGGCTCAGTCGGTTGAGTGTCCTACTTCAGCTCAGGTCATGATCTCTCAGTCCGTGGGTTCGAGCCCCACGTCAGGCTCTGTGCTGACAGCTCAGAGCCTGGAGCCTGCTTCAGATTCTGTCTCCTTCTCTCTGTCTCTCACCTGCTTGTGCTCTGTCTCTCTCTGTCTCTCAAAAATAAATAAACATTAAAAAATTGGGGAAAAAAAAAGGAAAGAAGTAAGCAATAAAAATGCATCATCCAACCAGGAAAATCAGCACATTTTTGGTGACTGTATTAACCGACTTGGTGTAAACCAAGCTTGTTCATTTTCTCCTCAAACCCCCTCGTCCTGGTTGGGAGAGTTTGGCCTGTATTTAAGGATACTGAGCCTAATCACATAGGAGAAGCTGAACAAGCAATAACTGATTTCACGCAAACCTGGACTTCAAGTCCACTCAACACTTGGAAACACTGAGGGGTCCGAGCTAGCATCTTCCTTAGTGGGCTGCAGGGACAGAGAGAAGCATTCTGGACCCAGGGAATGCATGGAACTTGCAGGCCACAGCCACAGCCCACTGTGCTAGCCTGCAACCCTAGGCCCCCCTCACGGGGATGAGCAGCACCCTAGACATACCCATACCCCACAACCTCTACTAAGACTCTCCTTCTCTTCAGACTTCTGTGCCTCCTGCCGGCCACCTCCTAGATACCCACAGATGATACCAGGCTTCAGGGCTGGGCATAGTCCCAGTGGCCCAGGGGACCCTGGCCTCTGCACAAGGCCATCAGCCTTCATACAACCCCCAGGGGAGTGGGTAGAGAATGGGGAGTGGGAGACACCTTACCCCGGCACAGTAATCTCCACTGATGATGACCCGCTGGAACTCGGGAATGGCATAGGGCCCTGGCGTGGGCTGGCAAGTGGCTCCAGGGAACACAGGGGTAGTGGGAGACAGGACCGGACTGGCTGTCGGGGCGCCCTTCCAATCTTGCTGCGTAGGCATTTGCAGAGACAGGGACTGGGACCGAATCATCTTGAAACTTTTCTTTCTAAAAGCCAAGGACAAGGAAAAGTGGGAAGCATCAGTCACTAATTGGGGCAAGTGATAAAGAGTCTTTGTTATGTACATGGCAGGAGAATTTCCCTCTGATTAATCACTGGTACTGGCCCTACCATTAATAAGTAGCAAATTATGGGCGCCTGGGTGGCTCAGTCAGTTAAGCTTCTGACCGCAGCTCAGATCATGATATCGTGGTCCATAAGTTTGAGCCCCGCACTGGGCTCTGTGCTGACAGCTCAGAGTCTGGAGTCGTCAAGTTCCCAGGTTCCTGCTTCTCTGCCTCCTCCCCGCCAGCCTCTCCCCCCCCCCCCCCCAGTCTCTGTCTCTCTCTTTCTCTCTCAAAAATAAACATTTAAAAAATTTTAAAAAAAGAAGTTGCCAATTATGCCTTCCTCTTGCACACATCTCTCTGCCTGAGGTACAGAACAGCCCTCAGATACCTCTCCCTGTGGTCACTAAGAATGGTTGTGGCCTGTGCAGGGCACACAGAACATTAGAGAAGGCAACTGTCTTGGGAGACAGAGAGCAGACCATACTGCAGGGGTCTAACACCAAGGGCAGGAGTGAGGACCATATTAAGTCACCCAAACTCCGAGTCCCAGCATCTGAACAGCCTCAGAAGGACAATGAACAGGGTCACAGACGGATAACCACCTTGTATTTCAAAGTATTCAAAATTTGGGGCACTGGAGCCAGAAGAGCTCATGATGACTAACTAGTCCCACCTCTTTTTTTCATGAAGGAGTCAGGGGCCCAGAGATGGAAGAGGGCTTGTACAAAGTCACAGGGCAGGGTGGCAGTTAGCCCATAGCCTACCGCCTCTCTGGGAACTTATCCACCCCGTCACCTCCTCTGCTCCTTCCTGTGCCTAATCTGTGCCATCCTGGCTGCTGCTACTGCTGGGCAGGTGCAGATCTGTATCTCTGTTATGAGAAAGAGATCAGTCAGCATCAATCTCAGGTCCCTTTGGTCACTTAGCACCAAAAGATGATTTTACAAACTCTCGGGGAAGTGGGCATAGGTTGGTTTTAAAGTGCCACAAGCTCATGCTTATTTACAGTGATTTGTGAACACTCACCACCCCAAGTCCTAGGATCTCCAGGAAGGGAGTTAACCAGTAATGAGGTAAAGCCATGAGCACTCCCCTCTCCTGGGAGGAGTTCTGACTTTAATGACCCCAGGCCCCCAGCATAGCCACCCAGCAGTGCCCAATGCCAGAAACCAGCTGAGGACTCAGCAGGATATCCAAGGCCTATAGTCACCAGCAAAGGCCTCAGTGGCCCACAGACCCACAGAACCCCTCTCTCCTCTAGGTGCCATGATACCTAGAAGGGGTGGAAAAATTGGTTGATCTCCAAACAGGCCTTATGTGTCACCTGGAAGAGGTTACCTTCCTCCTGACACTTGACCAGGTCTCCTTACAGGCCCGTTGCTAATTTTTCAGGAACCACATTTACCTCTTCTGTCTATACACCCAACGCTTGCCATGGCTCTCAGTCTTTATCTGCCCACTTGTGTTATCACCTCTTTGGGGCAAGGCTGTTTACACCTGGAAAGTAGAGGCAGCCCCTTTTCAAGAGTTTGACTTTGCCCTGACCTTGGGCCTTGCATAACAGATGCACTGAGTTGTTCAGGAAAGGCAGCCTGAACTCCAGGGGCCTACAACCCAGGCTCTCTCCAGCCTGCCATCCATCCTTTCCACAGAGCTAAGCTAAGCAACATGCCCCCAAGGAAGATGTCAACTCATGCCAGTCAATCATTCCTCAAAGGCAGATTTACCTTGACCAATACAGTTCTCACTTTGGCATCTTTTGGTTATTCACACCTACAGGAAGAGCTATTACTTTGGGCTCCCTCTAACATTCTGACCGGTTCAGCTGGGTCCCATAAGACTCTGGCATTTGTGTCATTCATATGCCTGCCAGCTCACTGTTTTGTCTCTTTGCCAACTTCACCCCCATGCTTCAGCCAATGCTGCCTGAGGGCCAGTCTCACCAGGGAGAAGCAAGGTAACATCTAAGGTGAGCAACAGGTAAGAAAGGTAATAAAGCCCAGTATAATCAGGAAACTGGAAGGCTGCCTAAGCCAAGAACCCACCAGGCTTGTCCTAGGAATGTCCATATTCCTCTGCCTCAGTGAGAAAGCCAGTACCCATCAGCAGGTGCCCAAAGAGTTCTTCTTGAAGACATCCATTATGTCTCCTGTCTTGGTCTTCAAGTGAGCACCAGACTGTCACATGTGAACATCTGTGGGCTAGGAGCTCAGATTTTGCAGGCACAGGGATAGGTTAAACAACAGATGGGGCAACTCCTCAGGGCTTGCTCACCTTGGGCAAGGGCTTGGAGTAACAAGAGCTAACCATTAAGCTTATATCTCAGAACATTGGAAAAGCTAACTGGAGCCCAAGGAGAGGGCCCTGTATTGTTTCTATTGGGGCACATAACATATTGCCACAAGCTTGGTGGCTTAAAAACCACACCCATTTATTGGCTCACAGTTCTGTAGGTGAGAAGTCTGGGTAGGCTTGGCTGGGCTCTATGCTCCAGGTATCAAAAGGCCAAAATCAAGATGCTGGCTTCACTGAGCTCTTACCTGGAGACTCTGGGAAAGAATCCATTTGCATGCTCATCCAGGCTGTTGGCAGAATCCAGTTCCACATGGCCATAAGACTAAGGTTCCTGTTCCTGGTTGGCTACTGGGCAGGGGTTGCTCTCTGATTCTTGCACACAGCCCCCTCCATCTTCAAAGCCAGGCATAGCTGCCTCTGTGCTCCAAACCTCTCTGACTTCCCTTCTCCTACCAGCCAGAGAGAGCCCCCTACTCTTTATATGTGTGTCATTAGATCAAGTCCACCTCTGTAGCCTCCTTATCTTCAAGTCTGCTACTGTGCTACATATGACAGTATAATCGCTGAGTGATGTCTCATCATATTCAGAAAGTCTGGAGATTAGGGAGGGCCATCTTTGGGGAGGGCATTTTAGAAATTCTGTCTACTATAGGCGCATATCTAGTATCCATTCTATTCAACCAAGGCTCAGCCAACAAAGGTGGAAAGCAGCAACTGAGTGACTGAATATGCGCGTGTGTCCACACACCTGTCTTTCTTTCCCTCTCAAGGCTGTCTGAAGCCCCGCATGTGTAACAGCAATAAAAGAAGTTGTCTTTTAATAAGCTTAAAGTAAGCTTTATCTGGATTATAGAACAAGGGAGTGTCCTAGCTGGAAAGGATTTTAAACACTACACACCCCAGTCCTCTCATTAACACTGCCTCTGCTTGAATACCTCCACTGACAGACAGCTCATTACATTTCTGGATAAGACATCAGCAATCAATCATTTGTTCAAGAAACACTTACCAAGCACTTACTCTGGGCCAGGCCAGTGCTAAGCACACAAACAAGGTGAACAAAACATGATCTGTTGCCACTGTTAGAAAGCATTTCCTTATGATGGGCCAAGATCTGTCTGTCCACAGTCCCACCTGTTCTACCTCGTGCTAGCCCTTGGGGCATCAGAGTAAGCCAGCTCTCTCTGCCACAGCTGGCACGCCCCCTCTTTCCCCCACCCACACATCCACCTGGCATAAACTCACTCCTACCAAAGAGCTGGCAGGGTGTGGGGCTGTGAGGATACCAGCTCCAGGCCAAGCCTAAGGGCCCAAGGGGCCAGGAGCAGCTTTGTCCTCTCTGAAATGGATGGCACTTCTGGGTCACAAGAACCTTCTTGCCCAAACAGGTCCTCAATACAAGGACACGAACTGGTCACATGGGCTGTTATTATGGTATCTCTTAGCACCTGTCTGGTGCCCCTCCCGCCCAACTCTATGGCCCTCAGCTGCCCCTGCCATTCACTGTGTCCCCATCATTACCCTGCTCCATTTCCCAACCCTCCTCAACATCTGGGCACCCCAAAGCCTTCCTGTAATAACATTTGATTCATGTGTTAAACCCAAGTTAAGAACCCCAAGACCCTCTTCAATCTTCTAGAGAATAGCCAGCATCTTCCCAGGGACCTTCACAAGCCCACTGCCCTTATGTAGTCTGTCCAGAGGACTTGAAGGCTGGGAAAGTCACCAGACCAAACCTTTCACCAGAGGCTCTCAAATGTGTACAACAAGTCACTTTATTCAATAAAGTACCAAGTGCCAGCCCCCAGGGCTAGACAGATAGAAAATACACCTTGGACTCCAGGGACTGACTGACTGATGATGGCATAGATGGCCAGACAACTCAGCAGACTGTCACCACACAATGTCGTTGGTGTGTGAGAGGCTCTGGATATTTTGGGATCCCAGAGGAGACACCTAATCACACTGAGGGTGGGAGCAGTGAAGCAGCAGGATCAGAGATGTCTCCCTGCATCATTCTCAAAGGGAGAGGAAAACGCTTCAGAATGAGCAGGCTTGTTTGAAAACCTCCCTCGCACATACTCAGATCATTCTGGTAGCCGCTACCCTTCCAGATGAGAACTACCACTTTAAAGGTTTGGGGCAAGAGGGGCGGCTGTGTGGCTCAGTCAGTTAAGCATCTGACTTCGGCTCAGGTCATGACCTCACAGCTTGTGGGTTCAAGCTTTGTGGGTTCAAGCCCCGCATCAGGCTGTCTGCTGTCAGTGCAGAGCCC